GTAAAGGAAGAAAGGTGTGTGCAGCCCTTTGCATTAGTGAGCCGGATTTTGACGTCTCTTTCAATTCTGTCGAGAGGGTGTGGACCACCAGGTGGAAATAGGCCTAAAAAGACCCACCAGTTCAGCTTCACAACAAGGTCGCAGAGTACAAAGTTCCCGACAGCATCAGAGGAAAATACGAGTGGATTGTGAACGGCTGGTTGATTTTGTACCCCAAGGAAAGACTGGGACCACCCAAAGGGTCTGATTTCCTTGATGGCAGTTGTGCAGGAGCAGAAACAGAAGGTACGTCTGGTACTCGATTACCACGTATTGAACGACTTTGTGGATGCTTTTACTGCCGATGCAGAAGTGTGCACACATAAGCTGAGAATGTGGTGGTGGCAGGGAGTCAATGTGTCGCTTCTGGATCTGCGAAATGCATATCTTCAGATTCACATCGACGAAGTGCTGTGGCCATTTCAAACGGTTATTTTCAAAGGCCAACACTTCTGTCTTACGCGGCTAGGATTTGGGCTAAATGTGGCACCAGTCATTATGAAATCCGTTATAGACACCATCACATCACAAGACCACACAATTGAAAGTGCCACATCAGCATACGTTGATGATATTTTCATTAATGAAAGTTTGGTCTCTGCATCGCGTGTAATACGAACACTTTTTTCGATTACGGTTTGGTGTGCAAGGATCCGTGCGACTGAGAGATGGAGCAAGAGTTCTTGGCTTGCAAGTCTGGGAAGAGAATGGCACCCTCCGATGGAAACGAGGAAGTCAGATTCCAGAAGTCCCTGATGTGTTGACCCGTCGGCGCGTATTTTCGTTGTGTGGGAAACTTGTTGGACATTTCCCCGTGTGTGGATGGCTCAGGGTGGCAGTTGCATTCATCAAGCACCTGGCAACTGCAGCAACCAATGGATGATGATAACATCAAAGATCCCTCTCTCTGTCGCATACTAGCAGAGATGTTAAGTAGAGTGCGGGAACTAGATCCCATTGGAGGAGATTGGTGCATGAGTTGTGACGAGATCACAGTCTGGGTGGATGCGAGTTCCATGGCGACAGGAGTGGCATTGGAAGCGAACGGAAATGTCATCGAAGATGCGTGTTGGCTGTGTCCAACTAATGATGCCAGGCATATTAATTTAGCTGAACTTGATGCGGCGCTTAAAGGAGTCAATCTAGCCCTCCAGTGGGAGGCAACACATTGCACTTGCTTACTGATTCGGCGTGTGTGCACTGGTGGATTTCCGACACCTTGACCGGGAAGGCACGGGTGAACACAAGGGCGGCTGGCGAGATGCTGGTTAGGCGATGGCTGGGCATTATGTGATCGCTGGTGGAAGAATATGGATTGACCATAGATGTGACACTCATACAGTCCTGTCAGAACCGTGCGGATCATCTCACCAGAGTACTGCACAGGTGGCTAGAACTGCTCAAGAGAGGAGAACCACCGCTCAAGAGCTGTGCAGTGGTAGGGAGACAACTGGATGAGGACCAGGTGGCCAATACCCATCGTCAATGCGGACATCCGGGCATGAAGCGGACTCTGTACTTCGCCAGGTTAGTCAACCCGCAGGTGTTCAGAGAAAGCATTAAATCCATTGTGAAGGCCTGCACAACCTGTAAGTCGATCGATCTGGCACCTGTTCACTGGAAAAGAGGAGAACTGAGCGTGAAGAGCAACTGGAGCAGACTAGTGATGGACATAACTCACTACAATGGTGAGAATTTTTTAACGCTTATTGATTGCAGTCCCTCTAGGCATGTGGTATGGCGGCCGCTGCACCGACAAGATGCGAGCACCGTCATTCCACTGTTGGAGAATGTTTTCCTGGAGCGAGGCCCACCTATGGAAATACTGACCAACAACGAGTGGAAACGGCATCGTAGAGTGAAACCACAGAACCGTCAAGACCATCGCAGCCAGGAAGGGTTGTACAGTATTGGAGACGGTTTACTGGTATAATGTCGCCCCGAAAGATAACGTTTCACCATCCGCGGCGCTGGCTGATGCACTGCACAAATATCATGTTTGAGTGAAAGGCATTGAAGCCAACCCGCTGCCTGAACTAGAAGTGACTGGAGGGACATTGAAAAAAGGAGATGTTGTTTGGGTCAAAAACCCACACAGCAAGTGTACAACAAAATACGGCTCTGGACGTGTTACGGAGGTGATTAGCCTGCAATCTGTAAGAGTTGATGGAGTGCCTCGTCACATTAAAGACTTGCGACTGGTTGATGCAACCGCTACCGTTACTGAGCAATGAAAACGATTCCGAGTCTGAGAATAGTGTGCATTCAATCTGCTTGGAGGTAGACCTGCAGGGCAGTGATTCCGATATCAGCAGCCTCCCGGCAGACACAGTGTTTACCGACACTCAAACCACAGACGAGAGCACGCATGAGGATGAAGCTTCTGTTGTCCCCCTTCGGAGGGGGACTCAACAGCGACGATCGCCACCTCCTTGCCCTGTTTGTGATCATGAGATCAGAGGGGAGTGTAGGGAAAATTGTGAAAATGGCCAACCTCGGAAATGCCTGCAAATCTGTGCGATGTGCAAACTCTGGTTTGCTCAACGGTAAAAGGAACCAAAATGGCAGCACCCATGTTTTATGCCAGGCAGTCTCGGACAGTTAACGCGAAATCTCGTTGTCTCGTCATTCACATGCAAATCGTGGTCAGTCCTCAGCTGTATAAAGCAGGCATATTTTTGTTTCTGATTACTGGGTTTTTTGCTTGTGAGAAGTTTGGACGTGTGACACTGTTTTGTCGGTTACCCTCCTCGCGTTTTTTCCTATCTGCTACTATCAGTTGAGTCGTTGTGTTACCACCACAGAAATTTAGTAGCTTAAATCAAAACAAAAACACATATGTTAGATGTGGTGTTCAAACTAAAGAACTCTGGCAAAATTTCTTAGCATTTTTTAAGTTTTATGTTTGAGGTTCTTTCTTAAAAAGAACAATCACCTCACATAGAAAATTTGATAACTGCATCATCCTAGAGCAACAAATGTTTAAAAAATTTAAATGTTAGTTAATTGTTTTAGTTCATTCATATAGTAAAATACATAATTAATTTTTTTTATATGTTAATTTTTTTTCATCATTTAGTAAAGCTAAAATTTCCTTTTTTTTTTTTTCTTTTTTTTTTTTATTGTGAAGCACCCTGTATTTATATATTCTTTTCTGTTTTTCTTATGTATTTTGGAGTTTCTTCATTTTTTATGCATGTTTTTCTTTTTTTATCTCTTCTTCTAATTGCTATTTGTTGGTTTTCTTTCTTTCTTTTTGGCTCATTTTTCATCTTTAGCTTTTTTTTTTTCCTATTCTCATTTTTGTTCTATACTTTGTTCCACATCCTTTCATCCTTCACTTCCAATAATTTTGTCTATTTCCTTAAACTTTCCCATCTTCTTTTCATTTCCATTTTCCTACTTCCCTCTAAACTTATTTTTTTCTTTCATTCTTTTCCTACTCTTCCGTTTCCTCATTCTGCTTCCAACAATCCTTTTTTCTGAAATATATAAATAAGCTGTGTGATAATCAATAATTCCTTTTTTGTTCAAAAGATCTCCTTATAACCATTTAGGCCTAATTACAAATAAATAAAAATTAAAACTACCAAGTTTTGGAATCTTTTAACTAGTTGTCAAGGTTACCAGGTTTTTCTAAGGAAAAGCTAGCCCCATCAATCAGTAATGCATTTTAAACTTGGCTTACTTTTACTTTTTCTCTGATCTGTTTTACAGTAGAAAAAGGTGCCAAAGATTTTGGTATTTGAATGCAATGCATGAATGGATGAACATTGCACCATTTGGTGTTACAAGTGTTATTAGAAAACAGTTTGCCATGTAACATATTACTTAATTGACTACTTAGTTTTTATGGGATTTTTCTTGTTGTTTACAAGCACATTTGGTGATTTGGGGGATGGCTAAGAAAAATCAAAGAGTATATACTAATTTTTGTTTTCTTGGTGAAAAAAATTAGTATGCTTTGAGAAAATCTTTTAAGAAAGAAGCTTTAGTATAAATGGTATACACATTTCAGATATGGTGAAATGTCATTTGAAGACCAGATACCATGTGACCAGCTTTCAACAATTGGAAATGATAACAAAAATCATCAAAAAGTCCACCATATTAAAATTAACATTAGCATCAGATTATTGATATTTGAAGTTACTGGTTTGCCTTGGAGTACATAATAATGAATGTTAGCAGAGGAATTGAAAAGGAAACACATTTCCACAAAATTTGTATTTCAATTGCACAATTGTTTTGAATTTGAGCCACAATTTGAGGGTTTTGAGCAGCTTTGAGCTGACTCCCTGTTTCTTTACAAAGTTGTGACCAAAAACAGAATCTTGAATTTTCTCAAAATATCTTGCCGTATTTTCTTGTGTATAATACAATTTTAGTATAAGACAACCATGTGTTTCTGAAACTAAAATCAGTATAAATTACATCCTTGTGTATAAAATGTCCCCATAGTATAACCATCCCTATGTGAATTTTTGAAAAGTTATACTATATTATCCATTAAAAATCTCAATGCTGTAGATATATTTAATTTTTCACAATATTAAAGAATAGAAATGAACTGGATTTTTAGCCATTACATGGCTAAGACATTTTCTGTCTTTGAGGCAAAAGACATTCAATTATGCTGATTCCCAAAGAACAAATATTACCAACATATCAAATACCTTTTGTAAACAATTGTTATCAACACCTGCCTACTTTGTGTTTTATTATCTATTGTACTGAATGTATTTGCAATCTTATGTTTCAAATAAGAGGTATTTTAAGCTGAGTAAACATTTCAGAATACATGTACTCTGTTTTAATACAGTCCGCCTTTTTGCCTTTAAATTTCATTCAAAATTTCTTGTATTATACATAAGAAAATGCAGTAATATAATTTTTGTATATCTTATCTGATATCTCTCTGGTGTTCCAATGTATAAATTAATTGCTATATTAATTTTCAGAACGAATCCCGCCCAGAAGAGAAGGTAAACCAACATCTCGCTTGCCCAATCCACTTGAACAAGTATATCGAGAAATAGCGATCTTAAAAAAGCTTGACCATCCAAATGTTGTACGTCTTGTTGAAGTACTTGATGATCCTGATGAAGATCATCTCTATGTAGGTAAGTGACTTATATAATCTTGGTAATATTGTATTTATTGTAGATGTTCTATGAGATAAGTTAATAAAAAAAGATTGTATCAAATAGATTGCTCTCAAGTTAAAGTGGATTGAATAAGATGTTAGTCTCATAAAAGTGACAGTATTTCCAATTCCTTTTTTAATAACTATACTATTGATCATGATACTGATTATAAATTCATCACAAATATAATTTACCTATTCATTGCAATAGATGGAAATGCAGGGGCTGCTTGATAATGATACATTACAAGATTGGTTTTGAAGTATTGAATGTGACCAGCAAGTTTTCCTCCATTGAGTTGTTGAGAGATCAGCTACCTGGTTTTGATCATCTAGATCTTTGCAGGTGCACCCATATACTATTGTATCATCTGCATAGATATTCACAATAGACCTGAGTATGCTCTTAGGAAGATCATTAATATAAAGCTTGAAGAGGGTTGAGCAATGAAGCAAAGCAAACCTTGGGGGATACTGCTTTACTCTCATGGGCCTCAGAGGACTGGCCATTAACAAGTACCTTCATGGACCTACCTGATAGAATGGACTAGTATAGCTGGAGAGCTTCTATACTACATCTTATCGAAGGCCTTCCAAATTTATTCTTAAATGTCAAATATGATTAAGAGATAGAGGCTAATAGATGCGTCATTATAACTAGTTCCCAAAAAGGGAAATTACTTATGACACAATCTCATAAATATATTTATCTACTAATCTACTATGTTAATCAATTAAAATTTAAAAAACTTCAACCTTAATATATTTACTTAAAATGGAACATTATTATCTTTTCTAAACAATGTAATTGAATCTTAAATGTAAAATGATAATAAACTAAAAAATGATTTTATGGTTTTGTAGATAATCATGATTTATATTGACTATAAAAATGTATTTTATCCCAGGTTAATGAAAATAAAAGACAAGTTTATTTTAACACAGAATAAAATATCTTTTATTCATTTACTGCCTGAGAACAGCAAGGAATTGTTGAATTTAAACCATGAGTTCTACATGTGTGTCAGCTTATTACCATGTTGAATTCAGAAGTGTGGCAGTCCAACTAGCGGACAAGGGGCATAACTCAGTTGTATTTTGAGTTATCTTTTATAGGGGGAGTAAGTAAGCACCCCCTTAACAAAATTGATTACCAACTTGACAATGATGAAAATAATATCAATACTTGCTAGAAAATATTTTCTCTTCTGAATTTTAAAAAGTGCATTATTTTACCTTTGAATGTAACAAAAAGAAAATATAAAATATTTATCAAAATAATACCATGGGGTAATGATTAATGAGCTACTTTGGTTGACCATTGCTAGTGAATTGAATCCTCACTGAGTGCCTCATACTTATATCTTTTTGATAAGCTAAGCTTAGTAAATAAATAACTTTTCTTGAATATTTTTAATTAATAACAGCAAAGTTAATGAGTTTAATAAAATCATTCAGTTTAATTACAACTAGCAGCATGGCCTGGCGTTGTTCGTGCTTGATTCAAAAATTGTACAACTCATACAACAATCGCTATCACTTGACTTAAAATATTTTTGCCCTTCCTTGCCTTTAAAGGAGTGCCCTTTGCCATGCTGATGTTGCTACATGCCTTACTTCTTGCCTATCTCACACTGCGAATTTTTTCTAAGCTCTATACTAAACATTAAATCTGTTACGAAAAAGAACTAAACAAAATGAACACAAAACGATCAGCTTTAAAAAAAGGACTCATAACTGGAAAAACCGAATGAAAAAGAATGTTAACAACAAATACTTTTTCACATCCAACCCAGTTCTGCGGAATCAGAATCAACGTTGAGTTTAAGCAAGCGAATGAGCCAATTAGAGTAAAGTGCCATGCATATTTAAATTTTTTCCACTTGTGACGAATGCAGTTATCGATTTTTTTTGCATGCTAGCATGCTAGTTAACATTCGTGTCAGTCAGCTGTTGGCTCTCACGCTGACCAGTAAAATCTTCCTGCCTATTCATGGCAGCCAGCTATTGGCTCTCACTCTGGCCAGTAGAAAATAGCCACAAACTACATGAAAACTGCCGTAGAAGCATGAAAAATCAATTATTTCCACTATCGATGGGAGTTGGGAAATGCAAAGTCAGTCTTGGCCTTGCTGCTAACTTGGAGCATGTGCATGTAAATTTTGGTGCAAATCCGTTGAAAAATGCGGCCATGCATTCGTTACACACACACCCATCCTGCCTTTTATAGATAGAGCAATAACAGCAAAGTTAATAAGTTTAATAAAATCATTCAGTTTAATTACAATAATTTCTTCATTTTGTCTCATTAATTTCTGATTATCGTTTATTTTATCCTTACAGTTTTTGAACTCCTAGAGAAAGGGTAAGTACCATTTTTTTTTAAAAAATACCTTTTTTTTTTTTTTTTTTTTTTTTTTTTTTAAACTCTTTGACTTTTCCTTTCTACTATTCCACACATTCTGTTGTTTGTTTAAATTATAGTGAGTGTCAGATCATTTATTCTAAAAACTCTTAGATTATTTTAATGGGACCTCACAGTATTTAAGACATTAGACTCGGGGCTACAAATTTAACAATTTCCTGTTCAAATTCTCAAGACAAATAATTAGGATGCTTTTCCTGGAACAAATACAGGTGGAAATCTTTCCTTGGGGTTGCTGCTCTAATACAATCAAGAATTGGATGTACCCAAAAATATAAGAAGCAAATCATCTTTGTGGTATCTCATACCATTTGTCCTCTGATATATCTTTATACATCTTAAAGCAATCCTACCTATTTTAGCAGAAATACTCAAAATAATTACATATCATTTGAATATTTACCAAGAATTAGTTTAGTAAAAGAAAGTGGGTCGAAAAGACTCAGCACTCTTTCCTTTGTTTCTGTGTAATATCAAACTTCCTATATGATAGTAAATGTTGGACAACTTCCTCACAGATGAAGAAAAGAGACTTGAAGCAACATAGATTTAATTTTACAGAAAAATGTTAAAAATACCATGGAAGAAGGATGTGAGCAATGAGGAAGTTTTTAAGGAAAATGAAAACAAAAAGGACACTTAGAATCAGACAAATGAAATTTCTGGGACCCATGTTGAGGAAAGAGGTGTTGGGGAATTTGACACTCACACAGACATACTGAAATTAAGAGAGTCAGTAGGAAACCTACCTAACAAATTTTTGTAAACGGATGGCAGATCAGGAACTGGGATTGATAGTAAAGGAACAAACATTGCTTAGTGCAACAAATGATTGAAAGTTGTGGAGAACCATGATTGCCCACATTCAGAAGCACAAGAAGAAGAAGAAGGCTAGCTACAAATCCTTGTTGGCAAGAATTAACAAAACTAGAAAATTTTCTTAGTTTTGAACTTTAGTTTGAAATCGCACTTTGGTTATTTTGTCTATATTTTCTGCCATATCACGAAATGATCAAATATTCTGATTAACTTTCCTCTATGGTACCTAGATTTTATGAATTTAAGCATAGTACTAGATTGAGGGCAAGGTCTCATCATTTTACAGTTGAAATGGCTAGATGTAACTATAATCCTACGCTAACAGTTTCTTCTCTCACACTTCTCGTGGAACTGTCTTCTGGTATTTTACTTCCCAGTTAACTTGATTTTCAAAATTTAAATGCAATAACAACCATTATCTTCTGTCTTCTTAATTCCTGTCTTTTTATTGTTCTCTCTCCTTAATAGTGTTTTTTTTTTCTCATATTCTCTAATACACAACTTGCATCTTAGTGGCTTTGTTGCCTAGCTTGGGGTGAAATTAAAAAAACTCAGCATAAAAATATTAGTACAAATTTTTCAATAAATTATCATTTCAAAATTGATCAATTCTTAATCAATAAGTACAGGATACTAATAAAAAAAAGAATTTTTAAAAATGGTGGCCTTTCATCGACCAAAGTTTGTTTTCTGACAAAAAATACTGGAGTATTAAATATACTTGTAGGCTGTAGAAAAGTCTCTTTACAATATGGATGTCTTATTTTTATACAAAATGTTTATTGCAATTTACATAAAATAAATTCAAAGTGCATCCCAATATGTATCCATATATATATATATAGATAGATAGATATGATAATGATAATATTAGTGGTCAATATATATATATATATATATATATATATATATTCCAAGAGGATAGAATCCAGGTAAAACTCAATATCCAGGACAGAGTAAGAATATAATATGAAATGGCTCAAACACTAATATTCAATGGTTATAATTTATTACAATGGAATCATAATCACGATCCAATTCATCAGACCTACAAATTCAAAAATTCTGAATTTATAGGTCTAATGAATTGGATCGTGATTACCATTCCAATGTAATAAATTATAACCATGGAATATTAGTGTTTGAGCCTTTTATATTATGTGTGTGCGTGCTTGTGTATAATTTTTTTCAGAGAATTTGTAGATACCATGCTTTGATCTGAGACAGAAGTGTTAAGAAGCTACTCATTTATTCTTGACAGAGAACACACATAATACACTCTAATTCTGGACAGAGGATCATGATGCAACATACTGATCCAAGACAGTGCTGATCCATATTTAAGTAATCCCATTATTTCTTATTTCTTGATGGAAATAGAATAAAATGTCAAGCTTCAGCATAAAGTACAAATATTTCAACTTGCTACTTAATAACCTTTGTACTGAAAGTAGACATGATTGCTTTTGGCTTATGTTCACAATTTTCTGGCTGTTAATGTCAGTTTATTTGCAACAGTGTACAGCAGAATATTTATTTGGACACATTTTCACTCTGATTCTAATTTGGCCTTTCCTGTTCAGATGTCATGATTCATGGTCAGGAATACTAAACCTTTATCCTTCTATCAAAGAGTCTGCCAGTAGATCAACTGCATGTGAATCAATACCTGGAGTTTGCTCAACTTGAAAATGCAATCTGTTCAATACATTTTCTGTGGAAAATTCCTGCAAAGATATTTATATCTGTTCTAGCCTTCCTCCTATTAAAATCCTCCACATAAAATGTATTTCCTTGGTCTGCCCATACTAGTGGGTGAAACCTCCTGCTAGTAAAATCAGACATTGACTCTCAAAGGTTTCTCAAGTTCCTGGAGAGGTCTGTAACAAATTGGGGGTGATATCTTTTGTTTTTAAACCAATCTAAATAAATAAACAGCATATTCTGTGTGTCTAAAACCACTCTGCTTGGGCCATATTTGCTCTACATAGACATTAGGATCCTAGGATTGAAAATCTGCACTTCATCTAGTGCTTGAACATTCATCATTGTGATTTGTTTCCAGATGAGGAAGGAACAGTTAAAAATTCAAATTTTAAAATGAATGAAAACAAATTAGTGTCTTTAAAAGTTTTTAATTTATACTGAGTTTAAATTAACAAAAAAACTTTGTGAATTTAATTTTTTTTGTTTTAAATTCAGTTTAAAACATCTCCAAAACTTTGTGAATTGAGGAAATCAATTTTTTTTTTAAATGCTAAGGAATCAAAGTTAGATATTTTGTGACATGAGGTTTTTTAGTTCTGCAGAGTTTATGATTTGAAGAATTCAACTCAGTTGAAGTTCCACAAAGTTTGTGATTTGAAGTATTCAACTCAGTTGAAGTTCCACAGAGTTTGTGATTTGCAGAATTCAACTCAGTTGAAATTCCACAGAGTTTGTGATTTGAAGAATGATAATTCTTCTGCCACCACTTAATTTATAAACAATTTTATGTACATAGGTCCTTACTTTCTATACAGACAGTTATTTTTATTTCATAGGTGACTGAATTTCACAGTTAATTTTGATTATTCCCAAATTTATTTCCAACTTATAAAAATTGTTATCACAGTAAAATTCATCCTTAAAAATCACGTAAAAAATCACTGAAAACAATTGCAGTATTGAAAACTTGGGAATCCAAAATTTCAGGATTGCGGGTCCGGATCTGACCCAGAATGTTTTTAATTTGCTCACAGAGTTAGCCTGATTCCAAAATGTTGGGCTATGGCTTTTAGGAGTAAAGTTGAAAAGGTGTAACACACTGACATTTGCATTTATTGTATAGATAAACATAAGATCATCATTATGATTATTTTTCAGCTCGACTATAATCACAGTGATTATAAATGATAATCATGGTGATTATAAACGCATTACACAAAGAGCATCAACATCATAATTAGAAATTCTCACCAAAAAACAGTTTAGCTGGTTTTGTTAAAAGAAAAACTATTCTACTTTTTCTTGAATGGTATAGACATAATTTTCTAGTGACTATTCAAACTTTTCTATCTCATCGACCACAATCAAGATCATAGAGTCATTGAGAAATTTTTAATCCTTTCAATTGTTACACAGTATATTCTTCATTATGGCTACATACAGTTTTGAGTTCAAAATTTTCCTCCTATTAAACTGGTCACCACAATGGCTAGAGAGCTCAATCTACTCTGCTATTTAACCCATAGCTGGGAAAGATGGATCCCAGTTAGTGCAAAAGTGATTATAAGAAACTCAAACAGAATTTGAAATTGGCTCACCAAATTTCTCATTCTGAGGTGCTAACCATTATACCACCTGGACAGTCAAACAAGAAAAGCATAAATATACTGAAGCTGTTAATTATTGTTGTAACCTAAGAAAGGTTACTGAATAATGAAAACCTAACAATGATATTGCCATATTGTGCAAACCTGCTATGAAAAGTTTTATCAAAATGAATTCACAGAAAACCAAGAAATCCTAAATTTCACTACCAAGCTATTAGTGTGGTTTGTATTTATTCCATCATCAAATGATACAGGCTTTTTAAAAGAATTTAGTCACTGGCAAATGACATTATTTTAAAAGAGAAAATAAGATTAATGCTGAGCAAGTCTCAATCTATTAAAACCTCAGGAAGTAAATTTATTTCTTTTCAAAATGACAAGTTCATTTTTTAATATGGTCACCATTTTTCTGAACATTCTACCCATTTTTCATTGCATCCATGAAGAAAGTTTTTGGTGTATTTTTGATCTAACTGTGCACAGAAACTTCAAATTCAGGATCAAATGAAAAGTGCTGAAATGTCTTTTTCAATTTTGGGAATAACAAGAATTCTGATGATGCCAAATTGGAGTTGTACAGAAAATGGCCGGCAACTGCATATTTTAGGCTTCTCAATGTTTACGACAATTGGTTGACTGAAATGTGGACTTTCATTGTTTTCATTGTTGTAATATAAAAAACATTCTCTTCTGTGATCATATTCTGTGAATGCATTGTAGAAGTGCTGATAAGGTTTTCATTATATTCATACAACTGTGATTTTAATTGGTGCGCAGCTTTCTAGTGCCCCAAATTCTATCACTACT